ACAAATATAGTAGATAAAAGCGTCGCTCTGCCTCGCGAAGCGAGATAACCATTAACCATTAAAGTTGATCTTTTAGGAAATTCACTTCTTAAGAAAAAAAAAATTTACTGTTGCCGAACTGGCGCAACTTTTACTTTTCTTTCAGTGAAATTTTATTTTCAAAAATTTAGAGTATTTCTTACATCTTCATTCGTACCTAGCAATTTTAAATATTCCACAGACATATTGAAGATACGTAAGAAATATTGTTCCTGTTGCTAATACTGTAACTATTCCGATGCATATAATTGCGTAGCTGTGCAACAAAATTAAATAAAAGTACTTTTCTTGATCGATAAAATACTCCATCATAATTGGCAAATAAGATATATTTTTTGGTAAAACAGTAAGATCATTCGATAAATATTGACCAATAAGGCAAAAAGATCCTACAATAACGGCAAGTACTAAAAAATTAGAAAACGTTTTTATTAAAAATTCTATGAAGCAATATGAAGTTATTTCAGAATTTATGTTATTTAGCACACATATATGCATATATTATATATATTACAAAGTTGTATATTATTTTGATAATATATTCAATTTCTATTTAGAATTACTTTATTATTTACGCAATTTGTGCAATATATTATTGTTGCATACTAATATGTTATTGATCATTGTAAACGCATATATATTATACATATATGGGCAAATGTTTTAGTAGAATCAGTAGGACATATCATACATAAAAATATGTAGAAATATTAATCATAATCCGTACAGCACAAAAACATTGCAGCAACATTGTAGAAATATTTTATTGCAATATTGCAAAAATATTGCGATATATTGCGATGCTGCAATATTTCAGCAACATTGCAGCAACGTAAAAAATGTTTAAAAATATTGTTATGTAATGTTGTGGCGTATATATTACAACATAATATATACGGAATATTAGATTTTGCGCATACTGGAGGAATACTTGCAACATATTGCAGAAACATTGTAATAATGCAGCAATATTGCTGTAATATTACATATGTTACTGCAATATTTATTATAAGATTTTCCATTATATAAATTCATTATTTAAATATAAAAAAATTAGAAATAGGAATTAAATGTAATGAATACAAACAAAATATGAGTTCATAATTAATTATACTTTTACATTTTATAGATATATCAGTTTCGATATATCAGTACTGAAAATCTACAATATATGTTACGTGAACTATAGATTTTCAATGGCAGAGCACATCGGAACACCTATATGTCTTATATTTTATTACTGTGTCCATTGTGCATTATATTTAATCCTTAATTGTTTTCTGTCTTTAAATTATAAGCACAATTTCCTATAAATTATAGACATTGACTACGTTTATATCTTATGTCCGTTTCCACTAATATAGATATAGATTAACTTCAATCTATATGGGTAGAAATGGACATTAATCGGGTTTAATAACATTCGCAATTAGAAACTAACTAGTCATTCCATTTTTTAGAGAAATATAGTTATGATTGGTCAGTTTCATAACTACAGATGTTATTAAACCCGATTAAGTATGCCATGTAAACATGATCATTAATTCCTATTCTTTTATTATGTCCAGATCTTTATTTTATTGGATATACATAAATTAATATATATGAGCACAAGTCTTAACATTCAAAGCAAGATTTTTAGCAGAAGCACAAATCGACACGAGAGATTCAGTCTTTGTTTCTTACTGATTGAACAAGGACAAGATGACTTTTATGTCAATTTGTGTCTCTTACTGGAAATATTTTTAAAATATTGTTGCAACATTATTGAAGTAATATTACGAAGGGAAGTCTCTGCAATATTGTATTGCAATATGCATTGTTGAAATATTGCAGCAATGTTATTAATTTCTGTGCGGTAAGTTACAGAACAATGTCAGCATAGATCTGAGAATATTTTTTTACTTGTGAGCATAATTGTGTGACGTCTTGCAGTGTAATTATATTCCTTTATGATAGCAATTTCGTTTTTATTTTTTATTTGATTACATATATATTCAAGTTGCATTAATAAGTCTTTTACCTGTTATTTCAATAATTTGATTTATTGTCTTTGTATATAATGTATAATAATTTTTTAATATAAACAATTTAATATGTTAATTTACAAAAATTCATTTGACATTACGATGTCACATATTCTGTAAGTTGTTAACTTACAGCTTTGATGTTAAAACAGAATGAGTTGTAACTTGTTATGCAAACAATAAAGAAAGACGTGGAAGACAGGACCTTGCTGATAAGATTTGAAGTACATTTTGATGTTATTAGCGTTGTCAACTATCAGTAGTAATTTTATTTTTAATTACATGTTTATAAACAATTATAAATTTATAATTTTTCTTATATTACATAATAATAAGATATACTACTTGATAGTAAAAATTTGCAAAATAACTTATCACATAGTATTTCTTTTATACTCTATTCTTACCTGAAATACAATACCCGCTGTCAGAATAGTAGAAATGAGAATAAACTGAAATCGTGTGAATTTAGATTGTTGATGGGGCCACAAGCCGATAACAAGCAATAGAATTCTATTGAAACTAAAGTACTGAATCTCTAGATGAATCATTCTCTGCGATGTCCTAGATGCGACTGGTTACGAAGCAGTTGACGAGTACGATTATCCCTTCTCCTTTTTCATCGATTATCTAGATATTCTCTCTTAGACTATAAATTTTTAATATAAATGCTTATAATTTGTATAATTCGAGGCTATACAAAATATCCATTGTGAGATCACAAACTTATCCATATTTTAGTATTATTTTTTCTTGCAATAAGAACTATTAAGACACTCCGATATCAAGAAAATGAATATCTTTCGAACGAATAATTTCTTTTATTTAAAAAAAAAACGAAAGACATTTATCAAAGGGCATAAGTCATGCATGTATCCTCTATTTTTGCATTGACTTCATTTTCATACGATCTCTCATATGATATGTTTAATCTTTGAGATGAATATCCTCTATATTTTTTCTTCTGCATCGATCGTAATTAATACATCTCATGTCAATTTAAAATATGATAATGACAATATTTTTCGATATAATATTTTGTAAAATATTATTTTCATATTATTATTTTCATATTATTAAATTAAATGTTAAATATTATTATAATAGATTGTACAAAAAAATAAATCTGTTGTTTATGTTTTGTTCAGTTATTCATAATATGTTTACATTTTAGAACCGGTTCCATCAATATAAGATTAATTTTATAATCTCGATTTAATTAACTTATTATTTATTTATTTTTCTATTACTTCATATTAGAAAAATAATGAATTGAATCAAGATTTATAATCTTATGTTGTGAATATTTTTGATTGCATATTTTTTTAATTTGCTAATTTATAAATATCTTAATAATAAAATTTTAAGTATAAATATATGTATACATAGTAAAATATGAAATTTTCTTTATTTTTAAATATGAGAAATGCTATTTTATCTTCTTCGAATATATATTTTCTTATGTTCTTATTTAATTCATATTTGAATTATTACTGTGTGGATAACATGGTGGTAAAATAAGATATCGAATCTTTTTTCAATTGCAACCATATTATTGCATTTTCTTTTATATTACAGTATATTCAAGAAAACACTACACTATTACCGCAAAGCACTCTAATGATTAATAAATAATCCTGACAATCAAATGGAAATTTTTAGTGCTTTTTATCAACAGAAAGAATATATATAATTCTCTTTGGATGTATAAAAAAAAAATTGTGTGAATTTTTGAAGCATCACATGATCCCAGGGATTGATTCCATCTGTTGTCAGTAATCTCTTGTAAGTGGGTTATAAATTCATAAATTTGTTGTTTTTCCATTTTACCAGAAGACAACGTAATTCCGCAATGAATTTTTTCATAGAATCATTGTCAATCTTTTAATATTATAAATATTCTATTAATAATATTCTATATTCGGATAATAGTAATTCTAGTCATTTTTCTTTCTTTAATAGGTTTCTACGTCAATATAATCTAAAAAATCTAAAAAAATACGAATCTAATGACTGTAATTAATTTGTTGAACTTTAATTGTTAAAATTAATTTTTTCGATTAAATATTTTCTAAATGTCTTTCTTTTACATAAAATTCAACTCAAATATTCTAGTTGACAATAATATCCAGATGTGCAATTCGCTATGAAATCGGAATTGAAATTAGCAAATTTCTAAATGACATACATCATAATTCTTTACAACATGATTTCTACGTGATCGATTTGTCGCAACGGATGTATCTTTTTCATTATTCTTTTCAAATTAAATTATCAAAAATTTCAGAAAAGTTACACAAGCGGTCTTTCTTCTTTAATTCAAAACTTCGTTCTAATTCATTTATAAGTCATATTTGGATTTCGATGAGAATATCTCTTAATTTGAATTATTTTGATGTCGAATCTATCTAATAAAGCTTATAGTTAAAAAATAATTGAATCAAATTCACGACAGATACATACTTATAAATATCACTCAGCGATCAGCGTAATTAATACTTATTAATACAATACAATACAAACTTGATATATTAAATTGTCTAATTAAAAATATTGTTAATTAGTGACTATTACCTTTTTACAATCCTTGTGTTATTAATTAACGAAGTTAAAAGTTCCAAATATTTTAATTATTATATTGTTTAGGAAAAATGTTCAACGACAAATTGCAGATATAAAATTACTTAAATTCAATAATTTAAATTATGTGATTGTGTGAAATATAATACATACAATACTTAGTTTGAACACATTGCGACAATATGGTGTACATCTTTATTTGAACAATTTTAACTCTCTACATTTTTTTCTTAACAAAATCTCTTGATAACTACGTGCTCAAAAAATAATGTCATTATTTTTTCTAAATATTCTTGTTTTTTCATTAACTATGTTCTTATTATTTTATTAATTTCCAAATTCATGTTTATTTTGTCATCGCGTGGAATATATGACAGTAAAATAAGATATCGAAGTCTTTACTAACTGCAAAAAACATCTCTTTTTACAATATTGATTTGTAATGTGATAGATATAGGATGCGTTCCGATATTCACTGCCAGTGCTGAAAATCTATAGCTTATACGTAACGTATACTGCATAATATTAACACTGACAGTGAATATCAGAACACTCTCATAGATTGTTATTGATATTACCATGGCGAAACATTCCATAGAACCAGTAAATAATCCACCGATATTCAAAGTAAACTCCTTAGCTTTTCTTTGTAATAGAAACAATATTATTCTTTGTATATGTAATGGAGCTCTATACCACTGAACGTTGTATCTATGAAATTGTACATAGATAATGAATCGCTAACTGATAAAAGAAACTTTCTTATCAGTTATTTTCAGCTATGCTAATTTGTTGCATAACTGCATTAATTTTTACATCAGACAAAGCCATTCTTAAAAGGCACATAGAAGGAACAATTTTACTTATGAATTACAAATAACAAATTGACAAGACTAATTATAGTAAAGTTGCTATCACAAATCATCTTTTTACGAGCAAATTTTCGTTGCTATCGATTTACTGTTGTAATAGAATTCGAATTCACAAGAGTTCTCGACAAACATAATGCTGTCTCGATCATCTTGTCCCGATTTTGTCGAAATTAATTAGTTTCAGTACTTATCAACAATGTGACAGCAAACTCACTATATTTAGCTGTCTCTGTTTTAATAAAATCGTTCTTTCCGTGTAAACATTCATATACTTATCATGAAATGTTTCTTACACAGTAGAGAATACGTAATTATTGTGATCTGTTATAATCTGTGCGCTATAGTTGCCTATAAACAGACATAAAATCGTGGCGATTACATTTAACAATGGTAAACAAAATTCGCTGACACTTTTTTCAGATGAAGCACTCTGAAATATCTAAGATCAAGTTTAAAGGACATTAATACATCTTTTGCATGTATATGTACATTTATGTATATACATTTTTTACTCTTAATCTAAGAATAATGAAGTTATATAGAATTAGAAAAATACTTTACAGTTTTCTATATATATTATATATATATATATATATATATA